ATTCGATTTGAGCTTTGGATCAGTTTCAGTTCGGAGTGTGCGGTTGCAACCGCGCTGACCGAGCTTGTTCTGGGAAGTGGAAGAAATGGTTCTCGGGTTCTGATGTGACCCACTTTTGGTACGCGTAGTGCTCGCTGACTGTGCCGTCTTTAAGGTGCTTTTCAGTATTAGGGCAACTTTTGTGTTTCTGTCTGTACATTAAAAAAGCGAGGTTATTCGCTTGAAATGAATATAAAGAAATTTCAGAGTTTGGGAAATTGTTTTTCTTACTTTACCTCGTTTATTGCTGTTTTGTTACGTGCCTTTGCGTGCCTTTTCGCCTGCGCGCTTTACGCACATTTTTATTTGCTATTTAAGCCTGATTTCGTTCTCTTTTAATGCGTCTAATTATATGTGAAATACATTTTTAGGTGCCATCAAAGTTCTCAATGTAAATTAACAAAAATATGTTTCTGAAATCGGGAAGGGGCTGAAGGAGGTAAAAATATTTTGAAAACTTGTTTTTATTTATCCTACTTTGAGTTGGGAGTATTTAAACGTAGTACGGAAATGTCTGATGGAGAAAGAAGTTCAGGTTCTTTTTTTTGACTATGTCTATTTCGGATGTTGTAGCCTTCGTGCGTATGGTGCATTTCATCGCCTTCAGGAACCACAAACACGGGCGTGCTTGGCTGTGGATTTGTGTACATTAGAAATGTGTTTAGTCACTCATAAAGCTATTGGATCCTGGAAAAGTAGCGCCAAACTCCCCGTATATGGTCACCATTTTGGTTCATGGAGTGAGCAGTTTTTCCCTGAACTCTCCATTCTTGGTGAGCCTATCTGATGCGCCGGTTCTCACATGCAGCGAAACGCCGATGTGTAGCGCTGCTCACGTGTCGTCAGCTACTTATCGTCTGCCATGAGCAACAACATTGACGGTGCGATACAAAGCTGGTGGACGCTCCCGTCAGCAGGCGCTTCGCGCGAGGTCAGCGCTATGCTTCTAGCGCTCCGCTGCATGTGCGAACAGGCCTTTATAGAGGCTTTACACACGCGCCAGAATACAGTCGCCATTGCTGACCTTCTCTTGTTTTACCGAGATACCGAGCCACTGAAGCGGGTGTTGACGAGCCTCCAGAAAGGCCAATGCTGGGAAGAAGAACACAATGGAATCTAAGATGGCAAAAACCTGGACTGCTATGGTAATGACGAAGCGAAGAAAATAGAATAAGAGGAAACAAAAACTGAAGGTCAGTTATGGCGGCGCAAGCTGGGCGACTGGCCGCCGCCATGTCTCTGCTCGAGTAGGCACGCCCGTGCGATTACGATCTTGCCAAAGCTACGTTCACCCGCGCGTTGCTCGCGCTTGCACGCATGGGGCACCACTTGTGGCGCCATGCTTGCAATCGTCTATAGGAAGTATTCACTGGCGGCCATAGTTGTGTGCGCGACTGCTGGGCGCGTGCTGATGGCGAGCTTCCACAGTTCTTTTGCAACGTGCATTCCACACCATGAGGATTGCCGGTCTTAGCAGCCTATTAATGTGGGCTGGTTCTGAGCGTGCGCTCTAGATAGCACTCACAAATATGGCGCCCAGTGAATACCCCTTATAGAGACGTTTGAGTTTTTGCTATACTTCGTTTCAGCTTCGGTCCAGACGCAGCCGATGCTGCAAGCGCGAGCATGTGGCCCAGAACCGTGCTTGCACTGCACGAGCGCGCGTGCTTGGCAGGGATGCTGAAAGCCCGGAGCTCGCGCTTGTAGCTTTGGCTGCGTCTGCACCGAAGCTGAAACGAAGTATATCCACGGACCGGTGAAACCAGCGCATGCATCTTCCTACCATCACCACATGCGGTGTCGGTGCTTAAAGGCATTGAAAAATGATCATCCTTTTTTGACGACGATGAGGACGATAACAGAAAGCTATATCGGATGACCGCGGCGCTACAATATAAGCCCTGGAAGTGAACGCATCGGGGGTGGCAGCCGTCTACTCCGACTGGGTCACCTCCCGGAGCCGCTGCTCCCACCGAAGTGAGCGAGCGCACCATCAACCGCCAGGGCTTCACCATCCAGAACGTTCATCGATCAGCCAGCCGAAGGTCACCTTGGCTAGCTGGCCTCATCGTGCTTCTTGTATATTACATCATCCAATAATTAGCCTTACTGGAAGTGGCACCACGTCCAGTAATTTACATTGCTTGTTTCTAGGCCAACCGGTACGAGCCTTCGGCCTTTCTGCGAACTCCGGGCTCTCCCGAGACAAATAAATGAAATGAAATGAGATGCGTAAGAAAAGCAATATCACTGCAAGGGATCTGTGGAGATAAGTATGAGTGATAAGCTGATTGCATACACGAGGAACGCTTTCAGCAAGATGACGCTCCATGGCAATTTCGGCACGACTGTGTTAGAACGACCCTTTCGGAGCTTCGAAGATTTGAAAGGGCCAAAATGGCGATCGCCATGGAACTAGAGACCGATCAGCCAATCGGCTTGCGAGATTTTGGTCGTCTGAGTGTTATACTCACTGATCTCCACTAGAGGGGGCTGGATGGCGCATTGAGCAAACAGGTATGAAGCCACCGGAAGTAAGCGGCTTGTCCCGGAAGTGAGCGCTTGGCAGGCTTTGTAACCCTTCTGAGTGCTGGTTCGAAAAGCGTCGAGGGCGCTGTATTTTCGCTTGTTCCCTCAAGAGAGCCTGCTCCTTGCGTAGTAAGAGCACATGCAGACCCGAGAAGTATCATGGGAAGCCATTCAATGTAAACATTTTGAGATTCTAATTGATCGAGTGTGAATATGTCCCAAGTTCAAATGCCTCATTCTCGGGATTTAGTCCAGAACGGGAGTATTATAACCTAAGCAAAGACACAAAAAAGCCGGGACCAAATGTCGATTGAATGCACTAGGAAGCCCAGCACACACCCGACTTCCGGGACAAGCATCGAACTTCCGGTGGCTTCACTTACGCCAGGCTCGGAGAGCAGCTAAGCGCCATCCAGCTCGCTATAGTAGAGATCAGTGGTTTTACTTCGTTCTAGCTTAAATCTAGACGCAGCTGATGCTACAAGCGCGAGCATGGTCCTGACCAGTGCTTGCACTGCACGAGCGCGTGTGCCTGGCAGGGACGCTGGAAGCACGGAGCTCGCTCTTGTAGCTTCTGCTACGCTCATATTTAAAGTGAAACGGTGTATAATATGGCTATGAAACGGAGTATAGTCTGGCTAGAGGAGTCGGTGACCGAGTGGTATATTGCACACCAGCTCAAAGCACGCGGGGCGAAAGCCCGCGCTGCGGAACCCAGGGATCCGGGTTCAATCCCCACCCCTGCCCGTTTCGATCTGGATGAGCATCGTACCGGCTTGCGGTCGTGTATTCCTACTGCGTGATGCACGTTCAAAACGCCCAGGCTAGCGGATGCACTGCACTGGCTAAATTGCTCATCTACAGCTGAAAGTCAAGTCGCCAGTTGAGGCAGACTAACTTCAGGCTGTATAACCATACACAAAAACACCATTATGTTTTGCCCGTCTAGCAGGCAGGGAAGGCAATGGCGCTACTTTCCGAGGATCCAGTAACTTTAGTCAATCACAGAACAAGAACAGCTGAAAGGAGTTCCGGCTCTCCCACCTCCAGCGCGAGCTTTCCACCTTCGATAACGCAACGGCGTCTCGGGAGCTTCGAGCATGCACGTGCAGACAAAGCACGCCAAAGGGCGACGACCGCGTGGTGGGGCGCTAGGCTTCCGAAAGAAAGGCCCCGTCGTTCTCACCCTGCCGGTGATCCCTGAATCTGCTTTATGTCTTCAATAGTTCCACAAAGGGAACAGCTGGGGTATTTGGAGCATTCCATTGAGGTGCATAAGCGACTTGAAACCGTCGATAATAATCCCTGGAGAAGGGGAACAAGGGGGACAAGCACAAATCTGTAATCTCCTTTGTCTCCTTTGTACCCCTTGTTCTCCTTCTCCAGGGATTATTATTGTCATTCTTGTCCGGTTCGATTGCACCTTTGCGTTTAATTGCATTATCAACCTTGAAGCCTAATTCGACGGAGAAACGCTTCCCACTGTTTCCTCAGACCCCATGGGAACTCGAGTCAATGAATGTAGATCGATAGTTTTTTTAGGATGGATTTTGGCTGACAACCTTCTTCCAAGGCGCGCGCTGCGGTACATGTCCCTTGCAAAATCACGCTAAAATCACGCTTGTACGAGTGCTAGACTTCGTGACTGGAGTGAGAATCCCGGCCGCTTCGTAACCTGCTACACCATATTCACTAAGTATTTACGGAAGCATACTGAACTCACGGTACTGAAACAGTTACCGCGTCAACTTTAATGCAATTGTACTCCCTTGACGATTTAACGTATTTTCATGTTTGTGGATTTGAAGTCTGTTTTAACAAAGAGTATGTTTTATCGGTCCCATTTGTTAAAAAGAAACCGTGGCGTTCATCTGTAACGGTCATCCGTGACGGATGAAGACTTCACGGATGATCGTAACATATTCACGATCATCCGGGACGCTAGAACAACATCCGTCATGTTCTAGCTTCACACAAACTTTAAACTTAGAGTCATGTATAAAGTTCAGGGACTATTCAAATCGAACATAAGAAGGATGCCCCGACGAGGATCGATGTGGCCACCAAGCGATTCTTAGCCGATACCGTACACTAACTGAGCTAAGCCGCGCAAATGCTCGGAGAGCAGTTGCGGAAAGAGCACGCGCACGAGGAGCAGCTGCGCAGAGCACAGCTGCGTGGGAGAGCAAGCTTTACGTCACGTCCCATGGAAGTTTGTGTGCCCCCTCTTTGTCAGCGTAAAACTTGTGTAATATTAATTTTTTTTTTCAGAATTAGTTTTTTTTTTGTTAGAAAAGAACACTTCAAAGCAAAGTGCTCGGCCCAGCTTGCGGTTTCAGTCATTGATTACCACAAAAAACGTACAATAATATTTTTATTTTTTATTTTTTGACGCGAGAAGGAGAAGCATAGATTAAAAGGACAAGACTCACAATATTCATTTGTTGAGTCTCGATTTCTTTCTGGACATCCACCAGCTGCATCAATGCTGTTCCTGCGAAGAAAAAAAAAATAACGAGAATATAAACACCATAAAACAATAAATATATATGTTTGCACGTTTTATTCTCGCCATGCATCATCCATGGGTAACTTCAGCCCGTGCCAGTATGAGGCTGCATAGGCGACACACGCAGACCCCAGTTCGACTGCGCTAAGCCGGCTGAATTTGACACATTCTTTGCAGGACAATTGGTAATAATCAGTTACTTTTAGGAGTAATTTTAATATTATTCCTGCAAGCTTCTGTAGAACCTACTTATGAGAATATTTCTTTATTCATTTTGACGCCATGAGGGCTTAGATACATAGACCACCACGAATGCAGTCTGTTGTATTAAAGCAACAAAAAACACACTATTAATTGAACGTGGTGAAGTTGGCCACAATAATGGTTGCCTAACTCGAATGGAGCCCAGTAAAATGGATCATGAAGCGGTAGTTGTCACTAGTGATTCAGATTGTTCTAATTTCCATTATGAGGTCACGCCATTTCGATGTCATCGCGTCTTTGCGACGACGCCAGCGGTCTCTTGAGTGAGTTTTCGCTCCAGTTTTTGTTTGTTTGTTTGTGACACCTTTGAGTTTGTGTGACGTCATTGTAGCGGGTCTCCCACTTACTTCAAACCCATGCCATTGTGGACGAACCAACAGTTTTCTATTGCATATTGTAATAGTCATTGTGTCTTGCGTAAACAGAGATAATAGTGAGTTTTCACAGCTCCAATATCCTGCATTTCACATTCAATTCTACCGCAGCCAACGCAAGACCGAATCCTATTCGCGAATAAAATCATTCTGAAATTAATTTAAAAAACAGTAGGAACACTACTACATAAAAAAAAAAAAAATAGACAAAAAACGAAACCATAAAAAAAAAAGTTTAACCAAGAAGAACACCGTGCAGTGGGACCGCAATCTCTACGCGGTTTTCTTGCGCAAAATCTCAAATCAGGGATTAAAAAGAAAAGAAAGAAAAAGCAAACCGGCGTGCAATTAAGAAAATCAATTAGAATCTAGAACGTACCAAACCAAAATGTCGTTACAGCATTTTAATTACCCAAAATAAATCAGGCGATCGAGATAGCCAGGAATAGCTTCTCTCCTCTTCTCGCGTTAATTATTTATCTTTCCGCTCCGATTTCCCCTCCCCGTTATCGTAATCGCTGATTAAAGACCTTATATAATTTTCGCAAAAAAACAAAAGATGAGAAACAGAATAACTACATCTGTCATGACTCTCTGAAAAGGCTCGCAAGGAGCACACGCCAGGCACGAGATCAATTATACCCTGAATGCACGAACACACACGCCTGAACAGCTTCACACGCACACACACACACACACCCACTCTCTCGCGCGCACACAGACACACACACACACACTCACACACACGCACGCACGCACATATAGAAGCAGACATACACACACGTGTGCGCCACACACACAGCAAACATACATACACACACGCATGCTTGCGCGCACACACAAAGGCGTATAAATGTATAAATGTGGTGACAAAATGCACGCAGGCACATAAACATTTACGCTCGTGTTACAACGAGACCACACACGCGTGTTAAAAAAAAAAATCTTTCCTAACACAATTGTCGAAGCAAAAGGAAAGCTTACATGGTACGCGCGAACCGTTCGAAAATAACAAAAGAGCCTAGCGAACAAAGAGAAATGTGTTTGGCGCGGATGAATTTCAATTAAAGTTCTCTCCCTCTCTCTCTTACTGCGTAGAGTGAGAGTCTCACCGCAATCAATATTTATTGGAGCGGAAATATTTAATGGAGATTGTCTTTTACGCCTTCTCAAGACGCTTTCCTAATTAACCTAGCTTTAATAAGAAAATAGTAATAAAAAAAAGATAAAGAAGAACCCGTGAAGGAAGTGTATGAAACCCCTTGCGGATTAAAAGTGGCTTCGGGCAATATAAGAGAAACATAAAAACCTAATTTAATCTCGAAGAGGAAACAAAGTTCAGTCCAACCTAAGAACAAAATGTTTTAAATAAATTAGCTTAGAGAGATACTCCTAGCGGGTAGGGCTGTAACCAACAAAAAAACTACCTCGTAAAAAAAAAAAAAAAAAGAAGAAAAGTTGAATATACGCCGTGTTCAAGGGTGATTTTGGTATGGGGTTACTAATTTTTGTGCACAGAACGCGTGCGTTCCTTTTCGATACATTTTTATATCGTCACGAATGACAGTTGAGGAGGCAAGAATTAACTGATAAACTAATGGGTTTTAATATGGCCAACTTGTAGCAAAACAAAAAATACAACTGGCGTCGTTGTCGGTGTCGAAACAGGGTCGAGCGGTGGCGTAAGACTCACTGAATGCTGCGCGCAACGGATTCTATTACACGTGCCCTATGTTCACGAAGGTTCTAAACCAGAACAAACCCAAACTGTCGAGAATGCGCTGGGACGTTCTTAGAGCATTTATGAAACGACATCGGGTTGGAATGGTCATGACTTTAGAGAGGCGTACTGGTCCCAGTCTGGCCCAAGTATATACTTGCACGGACAGCCACTGATTAAGAAGCTTTTTGGTCGTGGTGGAATTGCGAGGATAAAAGGGGACTATTTCTTGCAGTCTTGCCTTCGTAAACTCGATGCCTTCGTAAACTCGATGACGTAATTGTGGGACCGAAACCACCTGCCTGACGACAGTTGAGTTGAGCTCATGGATTGGACACGACAACTGCGAGCACTCGACTTCGGCTCGTAAAAAATTCAGCATCGGCGGACACTCGGGCAGTGGCTCGTGTTCAACCACTGCGGTGATGAGAACAGCCCATCCCTAAAAATGCTTAGACCTTAGCACGCGTTTGCTACTTTACCGACTCCAGCGCGTGGCTATTATTAACGTTGGCGGCATAGAATAGGCACAGGGTCACGTGGCCACTTGTTCTGGCTCCGAGTTGAAGGGATGAACGACGCTCATATCTCTCGAATTCATTTGCCGACTGCCATTGCTTAGAAAGAAAAACTAAATCTAGTTTATTCGGTTACTAACGTTAGGGAGTGATTGCGAGGAGTATTTAGCAAAAGCAGAAAAATCGCTTCATGGCCCTTTCAAGAAGCGAAGACTGGTAAAATAGAAAGGGAGACTTTCCAGTTTCGTACCGCGGCCGACAGTACGGTACGATGGAGACACTAGGCACTTTTAGCAAACCGTTGCCGTGTTCGGCGTACCGCACTTCCGGAGCCTTTGAAGCATGCTTTTAAGCTCGCGTCCCGCGGTCACGTACCACCCGGGCGCGCGCTTAAAAGCATGCTTTGAAGGCTCCGGTAGGCGGTACGCGGTACGCGGAATACGGTAATGGTTCGCTAAAAGTCCCTAGTGTGGTACGCGGAATACGGTAACGGTTTGCTAAAAGTCTCTATGCGGTACGCGGAACACGGTAGCGGTTTTCTAAAAGTCCCTAGTGTGGTACGCGAAACATGCAAACGGTTTGCTAAAAGTTCCTAGTGCGGTACGCGAAACACGGTAACGGTTTGCTATTTGTCTTTAATCAAGCAGTGTTGAAAGTGCATCGTCAATTCTTGGTCACGGCGCTTGTTGTCTTTGTAGGTTCGCCATCGTCGGCTAAACCAATCGCACTCAATAGACAGTTTTAGTATAGCGTTGCTGGCTCTTACGTACGCAATGCGCAATAGTATAGCGTACGCTAAAAATGACCTGCTCGGAACGAATTTAGTTGTGCGTTACGTTTTCGAGTGAACACCGCGCGCGATCTTGGTTAGATTTGCTAGAGCTGCAGAATTCCGCGTGCTTATAGCGCATCCATGCTCCTGGAAAGAAATATTGAAAATGAAAACGTGTCCAATCATTTTATTTCCAATTAAACCAAGCCGCAGCTGCCTCGTCAAGCGCGCTTTTCTGCGGGGTACAGAGGTTACGAGGGGTATTCACACGAGGGAGAAATCCCGGGGATTTCTCCCCGGCACGCGCATCCAACGACGAAAACGTCAGGCTTTGCGATGTGCAAAAGCCTCGCGTTTTCATCTCGTGATGCGCGCGTGCCGGGGAGAAATCCCCGGGATTTCTCCCTCGTGTGAATACCCCTTAGGCCGGTTCAGACACTTGCGTTTGAGTGCGTTTGACTGCGTTGCGTCGAGAACCGAAAGCGAGTCACCGGCACATCTGTGCTTCGTGTGAAGCGTGCAATCCAATTCAAAGAATCATCTTAGCACGCGATATAAGTAGCGGGGATCTCCAGGGGTGCTATGTTGCGCTTTTTGCACTCCCAGGAGACTTGGAAGAGGGAAGTGACGTCAACGATGCAGCAAATGTAGATTGAATGTTGACAGAAGAAAACGAAATCAACACCCAATCTGCGTTTGCTGTGTCGTTGACGTCACTTCCCTCTCCCTAGTCTCCTGGGAGTGCAAAAAGCGCAACATAGCCCCCCTGGTTTCTCGCTGCCGCAACGCAGTCAAACGCAACTGTCTGAACCAGGCTTAAGAGTGCGTAGCCAAATTCGATCACGGAGCCTCCGCCAATCTTCCCTTTGAAACGGCACCTTTTCTCAATGCTATCGCGGTATGAAATTCATGACCTACTGATGTCCAGTACATAGCGAGAACTTCGGCGATTTCTTTTAGAGTCGCTCGTCGGTCGGCGATGAACTGTGCGAATAGGCTTAGCATTGAGCAGATCGCAGCGTTGAAGCACATTCCAAGCGGCGAACATTTTCACTGTGCACTCCTTCAGCTGCACGGCGATCTGATTCGACCGCCCTAGGTCCCGGAAAGAATTGCCGAGCTGAACACCACGCAATTTCACGTAACACAGAACTTCGAAAACACCACGTCGCCTTTGCTGCGCCAGTCGAGGTAACCGCCATCTTGAAACTGGCGCTCTCGCTGGGCCCGAGATCTCTCGAGAACATCCCGCAGAGCCCGCTAGCCCGCCACGCCCGCCACGCAAAATCCCCAGCGTTGCGTGCGTACGCAATACGCTAGCTCTTCTATTGC